TATTTTTAGGAGAGAAACTTGGGGTTGTTTAAATGTTGATGAAAGGAAGTGGTATCAAGGGAGGCAGCAGGAGAGAGAAGGGACCTACAACAGAGCAAAGTCTATCAGACTGCAAGAGAAATACAGAGCCTTAGAGCTGACCTTGGCAATGAGCAATCTCTTCCACTACAATGGAGGGAGAGGAGGAAAGGATGCGCATGTCTGCAGGCAAGCTTGTGCAAGAATTTGAGGGAGTTTCTCTCCGATGGCTTTTTCTCTTACAAAGTAGAAGAAAAATTCCCTAGTGGAAGATTGATTAAAAATAGAGTGAGAGAGATGCCAATTTTATGGTCACAAGTTTTCTCTGATTGTGGTTTCACTTACAAGTAGAAAACAAGACAAAACAAAACTTGTCATTCAGTTATTCTCTTTTCTTCCTTTAAGGTAGGTGTTAACTCCCAGCCACCAATTGTAGGCCCCGGAGATGCCTTTGCCAAACTCCAGTGAGCAGTGTGGGGACCACAACAGCTTTTGATGAAGCTTGGGCGCCACCCCAGATCATAGGTGTGATGGCTGTGAGACTTCAATCACTGGAACATTGAGAAGGACAGAGAAGAGGGCTTTCTGAAGCCCAAGAGGATTTGGTGGCCCTAGGAAAGGATTATTGAAAATGTAGGGGCTGACCTCAGAAAAGCAAAAGCTAAAGAGAAGGAAACAAGATAGAGATACTTCTGAAGGTAGAAGTCCAGAAAGGGCCAGTGGAATCCACTCTTAGACCCCAATCAACTTCCTGAAACCCCCACCACAGGGTATCCAGAATTTAAAGATGCTAACTCATCTCCTCTCTCTCTCTCTCTGAGTTGCATGTTTGTTTTATGATTCTTTAGACCAGTTTCTGTATTCACTGGCTTCAATAAAGCACTAATCTGCTTTAAAGCCCAAGTGATTATTTCCTGTTATTTAGTTGGCCTCATGACATACTCTCAGAAAGTTGAAGCTGTTTCAGACTCCCAGGCTCTACTTCCCATTGTGGCTTTACACAGGAAGGGGAATGCCCACCCCACATAGTTGACACCAGAAGGCTGTAGGTACCTCTGCATGCAAGGTGATCCAGACCCCATCCCAGAGTGTGCCTTAGGAGGGCCCTCACTTAAGAGCAGTTTTCAAGGTTCTGGCTTTCCTTGTCATTCTCAGCAATCTGCTTTCCAAATCAAGCACATAACACACTGGTGGCCAAGTTATTTGCTGAAAGGGCCAGGCCTCCCACTGGATCTTGAGGAGGAAACACAGACGCTGCTTCCACCCCGCCCTTCTGCCCCGACTCGGTCTAGGAGTTTTGTGTACCACAAAGAGGGGAGTCCTTGAGAGGTCACCGGATCCATCTGTCATCAGCACCCCCACCCCAACTCCCAACACAGCCACACTCTCCTTAAGCTGTTGTGAAAAAGAGAGGCTCAGTAAGACCTACTTTAGTAAAATCTCTGGAGAACAAGATTTCATAAACTTCTGCAGTGACTATTTCAAAACCAAATAACGTTCTGATTTTGCCAGCCGCTTAAATCAAAGTAGGGAAAGAGAGTGGAGTGGGTGGGGGAAGGAGGGCAGCATCACAGAAAAAAGGGAAAACAGGAAACAGACTTATTAAGAGGAAGAGCCAGAAAGTGAAAAGGTTTAACTGACCCGTACATTGAGAATTTCATGTAAAATCGTAAAGTTCTCTCTTTTCTCCCCTTCATTACCTTCTGAGCATCTTCCCACGTCCAGCAAGAAAAAAACAGGGCCTACTCCACCACTAGAAATGTAGCTGTTGGAGAGTTTTTTCCTCATAAAAATAAATAAATAAACACAAATAGAAATCCAATGAGCCAAAGTCAACAGTTAGATATTCATATCAGGCTGGGAGACTGTCCGCTCAGAGTTTCCAGCCCACACCCGCTGCTGCCCTGACTCCATTCCTCCAGTTCTCTCTTGACCTAAAGGGGGACCAACACTTTTAGGAATCCTCTCTGTGCCCATAATTTTCATGTTCTCTGCCTGCCTTTGCCCCAGGGCCTCCAATCTAAACTCATGGCTGTTCTGAACCTCCCCGCCAACTCCGCTCTCTCCCTGTCCAGTGCCCACTCCCACCCCTCCTCCTGAAATGAAAAGTAGATTCTGCTCTTCCTGGCTGATTGCTGGAGCATCTCAGCCAAGACAATTCCCTATTGACATTACCGCAGAGATTATGGCCCAAAGCCCTCACATTTCTCAGTCAAATCAATGGAAACATCTTGGTTTTTTTTTTTCTTTTTTGCCTGCAGGACCATCCAATGTGAATGATTTTCTGCCTGGAAATAGATCCTATGTCTGGGGCAAGGTGTCACTGCTGGATCTGACATCATTTAGAAAACAGGTTGTTTTTCTGGGATAAATTTAAGAGGTTTATTGAGTCCATGGAAGTTAGGAGGACAGAGTTTTAACTTCATTCAAAAACGGGGGCTGCTGGTTGCTGCCACCCACAATGAAGACTCAGAGCACCAAATTCAAAGCCTTTCTCCCCAGCGTGTTTTAAGGGTGCTCGGGCTTCATGTGGTTGTTGCTGGCGGCTGTAGGGAGAGCTATGCGAGTCCCTGCTTTACTGGAAATTTCACACCCGTGGACGGCAAGGCCAGGAAAGGGATATGCAAGCAGAAGATGTGAGAGCACAGGGCAAGTCTTGAGTCTTAGTGCCCTGAGGATTTGTGCTTGGATGACGCAAACAAAGAAGAAGCGAGAAGTGGAGGGCCCCTCACGAGGAGGAGACTCCCTCAGTGGTGGCTGTGGGTCTTCCTTAGGTCAGCTCCATGTCAGAAGTCTGAGGAAGTCAAACAGCACCGTGAAAGTGGGACTTCCAGCAGAATTGGCAGGATTTCTTCAAGTCAATAAGATGGGAAATCAGGGAAGGGACTGTTTTAAGTTCAAAGAGATTTAGAGTCATGACAACCGAATGTTTCCAATTGACTGGTCAGGGACCAACCAAGGTGTGATCCCTGAGTGGATTCTAGTTTGAATAAACCAGCTGCAAAAAACCTTCTGGGATCAATGGTGATATTTGGGAACTATGGTTTATTTTATTGGGTTTTTTAATATGAATATGGGTCTGATAATGGTATCATGGTTCTGTCAGAAAATGTCCTTATTTTTAGAGATGCATACCTGAGTATTTGAGGGTGAAATGTTATTATATCTGAAATTTACTTTGAAATAGTTAGGCAAAAGGAACAGGTGAAGTAACTATGGCAAGATGTAAGCAATTAGTAAATCTAGGTAATTCTGGGCAAATGAGTGCTCATTACGTATTATTCCATTTTTCTGAGTATATGAAAATGGATGATTTAAAAAGTTTAAAAGCATAAAAAAGTCTAGGAAGGTGGGAAGAGAAAACTCCTCATGCAGATCAATTATTCTCCGAAACATTGTTTGTGGGAGAACGGGCAAAGATGAATAAAATCCAGTTGCTGAGGTAACAGCCCAGTGTGAAAGGCAGACAAACAGACAGACCGTGTCCCAAACAGAGCAATGTGTCAGGGGCTATGGGAGCAAGGGGGGAGTATGGTCCCAGGTGGACTGGGAATTGAGGACCCGTCTTGGGGCAGGGGGTGGAGGGGTGCTTCCCGAAGGAAATGATACCTGGGCTGAGGCTTGATAACCGTGAAGGCTTACTGGGTGGAGAAGTGGCAGGATTGGACTTCCTCCTCCAGCGGGGAAGCACTCTAAGACTTGGGGGGTAAGGTTGAAAGAGTGAGTGGAAAGGGGGGCTGTAGGGAAGAGGTTGTTAGAGGAAACGGCTTTTTAAGCTCATTCCTGGCAACCTAGCTTAATACGCCCCTGAGAAGAGGAGAGAAAGTTTAACCGAGGGTCTCTAGGTAGGGGGTCACAGGCCAAGAAAGCCGTTTCTTAGAAAAGTCAAAAATGGGTGACAAGGCAAAGACAGCTTTAAAGGGACACAGAGACTATCAGGCAGCCCCAAGGGTCGAGGCAGGGGTTGGTAGCCTTCCCCAGCAAATCTTCATCACCCATCCCAGTGTCTGGCTTTCTTAACCAAGAGGCCATGTTCTTGAGCTCCAGATGTCTGTTCTGCTTTCAGAGAGGGCTCCAAAGTAAATCTTTACTCTGCTTCGGGTTCCAGGGTTCAAATATTTTCAAACAACACTCTATCCTTCACTTTAACTAATCCACTCCTGTGGATACATTGACCTAACAAGAGGCAGACAAGAGCAGTAAGTGCTGGGGCCCCTCCTGAATAAGCAAGTTAAGTCTGTCCTCGCAGGTTAGGGTCAGGCAGTGGTCCCCACAGCCCAGTGTCGCTAATGATGCAGCACCCTGTCACTTCCAAAAGGACCGAAAGAGCCAGTCCTCTGGAGAGCAGCTCATGTGCCTGGGTAAAGGAAAGAAGAGCCATAAATTATTCAAAAGACCTTTTTAACCAGGGCCTTAGGGCTGCTGGAATACTTCATAGAGTGTGAGGTTTGGGAGGAAAGTTGGGGAACTTCTAATTCAGTCTTCCAACCAGCAGGAGCCCCCTACCTCAAAGTTAACGCTAAATTGACCCATCATCGGAGTGTGCTGCTGTCTTCCTCTGAAGGAGAGGCCACACCTAGGATTAGGGTTAGTTTGCAAGTTGAGATCATGTACTGGAGACAGAAAAAACAAACAAAAACAACTCCATTTCACAAACAGATCTTTTTTCACTGTGGAAAGTAGTTTTCAAGTTTATTTGCCCCATTGTTAGTGTGTAAACTTGAGGGATCTGAAGTTTTTCTGGCTAGGGACCATCCTTTAACTGTAAGTACAAGGTAGTCACATCTCAGATTGGGGTTAGGTTCCAAAAATAGAAACTGTGTATGCTCAAATTAAAATCCCTTAATTTCTCTAAAAGTAGGACATGTCGTTGAATTATCTTCCAGCATTGAACCCAGGTCAATGTCCTCAGTTGAACACCAGATAAAATAGTTAACTTGTATTTAGAGGCTGGGTTGTATTTAAAAAACAAAAACCAAAAAAAAGCACAAGGAAACAGCAGAGCCACATTCAAAGAGCAGGTACATCACTCTGAGAAGCCCTTAGAATGGAGACCCCTCCAGTGAAGGTGAGTCCCAGACTTCTGGGATACGCCCACCCGGAGGCAGGATCGCTGGGAGAGCAACGACAGACAGAATCACCGTGCTAAGTTGCCCTTTTTCCTCTTTCACGTTTTCTAGTGTACAGATAATTGATTTTTTAAAAGTTAAATGTGCTGATGACATAATTCCAGAAAGAAGTTTAAAGAGTTCAATTTTCATTAGTCCATTTTCTTGTTCTATTTTGTAAGGTCTCGTTAGGATTTCTACAACTGCTCACATGGAGCTAAAATGTTTTTTATAATAAGTAAATTAATTGCTTATTGCACACTTATCATTCACCAGGTACTTGCTAAACATTATTACCAAGCATTAAAAATAGAATCTTTGCTCTCCAGGAGCAGACAGCAAAGTAGGAAGAGAAGAATCTAGAATGCTGAATTGCCAGGAAATAGTACAGGACAATTTGCAAGCAGATATCATCTTGGTTTGTGAGGAGAAGTGTTCGGGCTCTCCGGGAGGAGTGAAATCACTACAGCCTGCGGGGGGCGCGACGGGGGGGGCGGGGGGGGGGTGTTGGGGACGGCTTTTCAGGATGAGTGGGTCCGAGATGGGAGTCAAGAGCCTCAGATCAGACCATCGCCGCTGAGTCTTGCCTCGGCTGCTTACTAGCTGTGTGACTTTCTAAGGCTCAGTTTCACTTCTGTTAAATGAGGATAATAATAGCACGTACCACATAGGGCTGTTACAGGGATTAAATAAGATCACGTATATAAGTGCCTGGCACATAGTAAGCACTCCATAAATGCTATTATTATTATTGTTCTGAGCAGGGCCCTGGAGGATAGGTATGATTTAGACACACAGATGGGGAAAGAGAGAGTAGAGTCCAGCCTTGGAGGCCATCTGGAGTGAAGATAATGGGGAGGAAGTTCAGCTGTGATGAAACGAATGTGAGATCTGATCCTGGTTCTCCTATTTTCTTGTGATCTGGGTCAAGTACACCCTGTGCTACAATTTCCTCATCTATTAATAAAGATGGTAATAGTAGTTACCACGTGAGGTTGTAGCAAGGATTAAATGAGATCATATATTTTAAATGCTCGGCGTAATAGCTTGGAAGGCAGATGTAAGAGCCTGGTGAGCTGTGGTGGACTGTTGGGGCAAGATTAAGGATTAAGAACAGAAGAAAGACATCTTATGTACATCTCACGTACATCTTATACACATCATCTCATTCTAGGCCCTTCAATTTCTTTTAAATTGTTTAGTTGGTGGAGGTTACTAATTTAAAAAAATGTAATTTCAAAAGCAAATCCAGAAACAGATCAGTACGGGAGCCTTACAACCTAAGCGGGAATCATTGTTACATTGTGATTGCTACAATAGACTAACATATTCCAGACAGAATAAGACTACATTCTTTCTCAACCTGCTGAAAAGAAAGAGTACAGAATAATCTCAAGAGATAGTCAAAGTCTGTCAAAGAAACATTTTGAAGAGTAAGATGTGCAAAACAAATGCTGAAATCATGTTTATCCTTTTGAAGGAAACAAACTGTTTTCAAGTACTGATAGTAATTTTAACAGCATCTATTTAGACAAGAACATTGAACTGACCCAATTACAATCTTTTTTTCCTTTAGGCAATTAAGCAATCCCAGGAGGATTTCTACTTGTTTCCTCAGCTATTTAACTGTTAAGGAATATGCCTTAAAATAATGAATTTATGTTTACTTTAAAAATTAATGTATAGTTTAAGTTTTGATCCAGATCAGACCTCTGACACTATCCTGAGTTACTGAGGGTTCGTTGTAGTTGTATGTTTCAAAACAGTCTGTCAGTGTTTCTTCTCCATACTTTGGGCTTGAACTTATTTCTGCTTTCTTTCTTCCTTTTTTGATTCCTTCCTGTGCGTCGTCTCCCACACATAGTTTTCTATAAGACACATTTGTGGATCAGCTCGATGTGTTCTCATTGGCAGCTCTGCAGCCTCCTGAGCAAAGACGTCAATTCTAAAAGGCTTCCCCAATTTCTCCAGAGACCCATGGACCAGGAAGTTAAATAGTCAGCCCTGAGAATCCCAGGCTTTGCTTTCCAGCCTTGGCTCAGAGCCCTGCCTCCCCTGGGCCCTCACGCTCACCAAGTTTCCCATCACATACAGCTTCCAGGGACCTGGAGGGAATCACTGCCATGAAGCAGCTGCCAGGAGCTCAGTTTCTCCAAAGCACCATGCCACGTAGGGGAATCTTCCTGTGTCCAACTAATTGTTGACTTTTTAAAAATCTGGGGGCTGGCCCCGTGGCTGAGTGGTTAAGTTCACGTGCTCTGCTGCAGCGGCCCAGGGTTTTGCTGGTTCGGATCCTGGGCGCGGACATGGCACCGCTCGTCAGGCCACATTGAGGCGACGTACCACGTGCTACAACTAGAAGGACCTGCAACTAAGATATACAACTATGTACCAGGGGGCATTTAGGGAGATAAAGCAGGAAAAAAAAAAAGATTGGCAACAGTTGTTAGCTCAGGTGCCAAGCTTTAAAAACAAAAATTAAAGATAAAAAATCTGACCACTTTACATTTTGTGTTAATCATCAGAGGACCTTGCCTTCCTTTAGATAAATTCAAGCTATGACTCTTTCCTCTTACTACAGGAAATCTATTGTGTAGCAAATATGCTAACACTGCTTAAATCCCAGAGTGAAATTACAAGAAGCAAAGAGGAAACACTCTCAGCACAACCTGTGTGCTGGAGGTTTCATTTTTAAATAATTCTAATTTTTCTCCAAGTCATATGCCATATTTTTCTAGAAGTAAATTTTACTTTTTACTTTTCAGATTGGAGATTGTTTTTCCATCTGGCTCTTCCACTTTCTAATTCATTAGTTACAGAGCTGAAGTCAAAATTCTCACAGCATATCGGTGGCAACTTGATTATAGCTCTTCATCCAAGAAATACAAGTCAAATTGCTTTGAATAGAGGACAAGATGTAGAGAGAATACATTCAGAGATACCAGACTTTCCCAGCTTCCTGCTGTTTGTTTCACAGAGCAGAATAGATCTCACGTTCCTTCTGTTTGACCCCAAAACACTTCTCTGGAAATTCTCTTGTGTGACAGCCAAGGATACCCATATTTAGAGACTGACGTGGAAGTGAGGGCAAACGATCACTTTAAAAAGAACAAAACTGGGAGCTATTCTTTCTTCCAGATGGATATGAAGTCATTTCCAAAAAAATAAAGGCGTTGATTTTATTTGAGGTCTTGTCAATAGCAGTTCAAAGTTTTCATTATCAGAGGAAGGGAGAAGCTTCATTTTCTAGGAAAAGATGATGAATGTAGTGACGGGAACTGAGAAGATTTTTCTATAAAGCCACGAATTAATGAAGGTGAGGTTGTAGGGCCCCTCCCTCACTTGCACAGGTCGCTGTGACTGCTGGGGGTTTGTTGTTGGTGGGAAAAAGAAAACAGGTTGCAATCAGGAAACACTTCTATGCAAGCATTTCTGGTAAATCGCCTACTCTCAGAAGAAAAAGACTCGAATCTCAATGGCTCCAGCAGTTTGTTATGATTTATTTTCTCTTCCTGTATATTTATTTTCATGCAATTTTTATAGTCATAATTTTGTATTATTTTCCTTAAAGAGAGTGCCCAAAATTGTATAAGCTTCAGGACTCACAAAATCTGGCTCCACTATTGTAGAAGAATGAATCATTTTTCATTATAATTTATTGCCTAGCTTCCTTAATTGGTGGCTCCTTTTTAATGTTAAAAACAGTTATTATAGTATAAACTTTCCTTCACTCAGCCAAGCCATGAAATGAGAATTTAGAGGAAAGTGTGTGTGTGTATGTATGTGTGTGTCTTGCTGGGGGAAGGGAACAGTGATATTAGGACTCCAAAGGCAGGACTTTCTCCTTCTTCTAGAAAATGGGCAGTTATGTTTTTTTCTCACTGAAACATCAAAATGTCCTAGACTGGAAATGTGTTTGTGGCTCTTCAAAGTATGAGCACACATTGATATTTCAAAGAAACCACCACCACCACCACATCCACCCTGCCCCTGAGGAGAATTTGCTACACTGAAGGATGCTGTTAGAAGGAGCTTATCATCGGGTCTCCTAGAAGGATACAGTTGAGCCCCATTGTTTGGCGTTTCAGACTGTCCTATTCCGGGAGACTCTCCAAAGAATATGTCTGGTCTTAGTCCCAAGAATGATTTAGTTATTTGGGGCCACTGGCCTTTTTATCTTATCAACTGTGTGAACTGTATAACCAGCTGCACTTCCCACATTGAATTGGTTGCTAGTAAGCCTAATGTTACATTTGCAGCTAGATCAAGCCTAGTAATTATGGTATGCTTTTGTAGTCATATTCCTGGCTCTGTTTTATGTTGTGTTTCTTCCTTTATTTCTAATTGTTCATTCTATACTGTTGCATTTTATATATCCTTTCTCAAGAGAGTAGGAATATGAATTAATAAAACATTCTTTCCAAAGCATTCTGGTTATAGTTTTATCACAGGTGTATGGATTTGTTGCAAAAATTTTTTACTTACTGCACCCCCAAAAAAAAATTCGAAGGAGAAGTATTGACATATGAAGCATCCTTCTTGTTCCTTCCCATTTCCCCTCTTCACGCTCATACTGCTGCTTGCTCACCGACTGTGTCAAGTGTGCCTTGCACATCCTCCCAGCGTTCTGTCATTTAATCTCAGGAAACACTTATGGTGGCATCTACTTCTAACCCATCTTTGCCACACTCAGAATTTACCTGATGCTCTGAGGGTACTTACCAAGATCCAAAGTGTACTCAGGACATCAATCAAATGCACTCGGGGCAGACAGATACAGATGAAGTTTCAGAGAAAGTTCTCAAGAATCTGAAAGAGTGTGAAGATACTCTGGCCCTAAGAATGGCATCACAGATCATTCAGACAGGAAAGACATATGACTATGGAAGGGGGAGGCCCAACCTCCCTGGACCTTTGTCAAGACTTGAGCTACCATTGTGGAGACACTAGACCTCCTTGA